AGAATAAAGGAACACTTCTGGTTACAGATCAACACTGAAGGCCAGAAGAGAAAAACACAAAAAATTGGCAATGAAGGCTGAAAAAATCTCAAGGTTGACAAACCTAGAGCTCTGATACCATGTTTTGGAATGGTAGAATACTGATGTGTTTCATTCTATTGCCAATGGGCATATTTATACAGTAAGTTGTTGTAATAAATAAAAAGAAAGAAAAAAATAGAAAGAAAAGAAAATAGAAAGAAGAAAGAAGAGAAAGAAGAGAAAATAGAAAGTACAAAAATAGAAAAAAAGAAATAGAAAGAAAAAACTTTCTAAATCAATCCTTCCACAATCCTAGGAATATATACAATTCTATTTTCAGGTCTGAACTAGTAACCCCACATTTTCCAATAGAACTGTTCCAGGAGGAGTTTTACTTCAGGTTCAGGTCTGAAATCTCTAAAAATCCAACTTATTTTGTTGTTTTCAGCTTGGTATTTCTTGTGCTTATGTATACTTGAGGTACTGCATGTAATTTGTCTTTCTGTCCACATCATTTGAGTTGTGCTTTGGAGTGTTACCTTAACACCTGTTCTAATGTAATCATATTAAGTTTATTTCAACCACAAGAACAAATGTCTCCAGATAATCTATTCCATACATCTATTTATATGGTTATACCTCATATCGAGCTTTACTTTGCTCCTACCATGGATGGATTTAAGTGTCAAATGACCTCTTGATTTTAAGGCCTAAATCTTAAATCTTAAATCCTAATCCTACACTTTAAACCCTAAAATTTAAGTGTAAAATGCATTTGGTTGGATGCCTGTCCTTTGACTGGGTAGGAGCTAAATATTTCTCCCACTTGCCTTATACCTCTTAATGTATTCATTAGCAATACACATGATTGTGTAGACCCACTTGCCTGCTACTAGCTCTTTCCATTTAGGCAAATCAACAATATCCCATGTCTAATTCCGCTATAATACATCCAACTCAAATTTTATAGCACCCATCCATTAGGGTTTAGATAATGTTTATAGCATTCCTAGGAACAAATTCACAAGAAACCAAGGTTTTAGAAGGCTAAAGGCATAGTTGAGGCATGATTAGACCTGTTAATGGGCTGGGCCAAGCCGGGCTTTTACTCTGCATTAACAAATTTTTTTAAGGCCCAAGCCTGAGCCCAACCTCATAAAAAGCCTAAAGCCCGGGCTTGGGCCCGAGCCCAAAGTATATAGCTCATGCTTCTACTGAAGCGGTTGAATAGAGAGAGAGAGAGAAATTATAAAGAAAAAAATAAAAAATGTATATATTAAATTATTAATATATATTATAATAAATATTATAAATTTTATATTATATAAATGAGTCGGGCTGGGCCGAGCTTTTTGAAAAATCCCGAGCCCGGCCCGACACACAATTTAGGGCCCGAGGTTAGGCCCGTGGGCCTAATTACATGTCCAAGCCCGATCGGGGTGCAGGCCAGGCTAGGCCGGGCCGTCGAGCTACCGGGCCCATGAATAGGTCTAGGCATGTTGGCCCAAAACGGTGAGGTGTAAGCCTCAAAGATAAAGAATAAAAATAATTAAAGTTTATAAATTGATAAAAAAAATAACATATAATATACCAAGTTAGAATGATATAAGAGAAGTTATAAATATTCATAAAATTAAAGTTTATAAGCAATAAGTTTCAATAGTTAAGCATTAAACAAAATAATAACGAATCAACTAACAACTATAAACATTTTACATTTCATGTTTCAAAATGCAAAGTTATCAAATAATTCAAATGATCAATTTAGAAGAAAGGAAACATATGAAGAATTATCCATACAATTGGATATTAGGTGTATGGTCATTCAATAGTTTAGAAGAAATAAAGTAATCTAGTTAATTTGATCTATGCAAAAAAAAAACAATAAAAAGAAAATAAATCCACAAGGAAAAAAGAAATGAGAAAAATAACAAACTTGGGATGTTAGATTTAATATAATAAGAAAAATCACTTGATATATCCAAGAGAAACTAAGAACTTGATTGGCCCTTTTTACATTGAACTCCCCTAAAACACTAAGAGAAAGTAATAGAACTTGGTTTCCCCTATTTGTTTTTCATTTTTTATTCTTTTTATTTATCTGGCTCGTAATTGTTGAAGTGCTTCTTCCATATATTTTGAACTATAAAAATGCACAAATTTTCAAAAGGTGCATGCCTAGGTCGAAGAGCAAGGAACACCAGGTGTGTGCCTTTTGGAAGTGCTATTCCTGGGACCTAGGCAAGGTGCATATCCTAAAATGTGCCTCACCTGTGTGCCTAGGTGCACCTTTAAATCACTGCATAAATCTTCTATGGCATCAATCACGATCAGTCACCAAAGTACCAACTAGATGCCATAAGTTCTGATGTAAGCCATGTCGCCAGCTTCCAGCCTCTCCAGTTCATTGTTTAGAAAGAATTTTTGAACCAGAAGAGGAGGTGGTTGAGGCTGTACAAGGCAATACTTTTCAGGTTCAGAAACTTAATTATGACAAAAAATCATACAACATCACTAGATCGTCATCCATAAGCACCAAAGTTAGAAAAACAGCATTCCAACAAAAACAGTTTCAGACTCATACTTAATTCCTTTGTATGTTTAGGAAGCTGTGCATCATAATATCCAAAACAGCTTCAAGGTTAATTTCAATATCCATCTAGAGGTCAAAAGATTACCACATATAGTTGATCTAATATATTTTTGGAACTCAGTTTCTGGAGGTTTTCTGTATGACATCTCCTCACGAGTTTCATCATTTGTGACCTGAAATAGAGATGTAACAGTGCTGGTTCATTTCATTTTTAATATCAAATTAACAATGTAAAAGATAGTGACATTACAACTGGAAGATCAGAGAGAGCATCATGAAGGCAAAGTGCTTTTTCTAGTTTCCGGGGCTGGCCCTCATCATAGGCAACGACATTACGCTACAATAAAAAGTCAAATATATTAGTAACAAAGGACTAGTAACATAGTAAATTGAATTAGTGATCACAGAGAAGAACAATCAGTACCTCAAACTCATTGGGGGAACCATATCTCAAAATTACATCATGTGTGGGAAGTGGATATTGTGGTAGTTTCTACAAACAAAATATCAAACACAATAAAAAGAAAATGTTCATCATTTTAAATCACAAAAGGAGCACTTCCCTCAGTTTGGATGAAAACCCACAAGAGACCATCAAACAAAATCATTAAAAGATCTACTACTGTCACATGATATACAAATAAAAGATCACTTACCACATTAGGATGGGCACCCCACAAGAAAACACGCAACCGAAATTGTGGAAGACCATAACAACCGGCAGCCATTGTTCCAAGCCTTGCTTGGTAATTCATATGAACCAATCGACTTAGAGCATATCGTCCAAGAGAACCCTTGGCAAACCTCAAAATGTCAACCACATTTTCCATTAAAACATACTTAGGTTTTAAGAACTCCACTATATCCATAAAGACTACTATTTGCCGATTTTTTTCATCATCTAGAGGTGCATCAACATTTCTGTGACGATTATAGCCACTAATCCCTTGGCAAGGAGGGCCCCCACAAATGACATCAACATCACCCTGGAATTTTGTTTAATTGCTGAGAAAAGTGTGATTTTAAGAGATAATCATCGTGAAAAAAAAAAAAAAGAAGTAAACTTTGTGATCAAGGACACAGCTGGTGAAGCATCACAAGCAATAATACTTACTGGAAGTGGCAATATCTTTGACTTACAGCCTTCTCTCACAAATTCCACTAATCGATCTTGACAATTACTGAAACAAATAAGATAAATATGTACTAAACATACAATATGCTATATTATAAGAAGAACCTTGTGAAACCATGAAAGTGGCATACCCCAAATGTTCAATTGGTTCCCATGTATCATCACTTGGATGATAACCCTTCCAGCGCACCTAAATGATACAAGTGTAAAATAAGAGTAAACAGAGGAAGAAGAAGAATTTGTTGTATTATTCATCAATCTCGTATGTATATATACAAGTTACAAATTCTATGTTAGGAAAGAAAATATTAGGAAAGAAGACTAATCAAATTCCTACAAATCTGTCATACAATCAAGGTAAATCATATCACCCTAGTATTTACTTCCTATTTTAGTTATACAGTCTATAACATCA